GCTGGCCCGTTCGCCAGGTGGTGCGAAAATAAAAGAGAGGGAAACACACCGACAACGTCATGATCGTAGGAGGACGTAGAAGAGCAAACGTCGAGAAAGACGTTGCCCCTTTTTTTTTATCTCTATTAAACATTCAGATGTGTGTTCTTTACAAGATATTTATAAATCTTGGTTTATTAATAAATTTTCACATTTAATATAGAATAGTTCATTATCTCCATGAAGTACTCTGATTGGAATGCTATTTTCACAGAAATAATTTACTAAACATTGTGATAAGATTGCGTTTAACATCAACAGAATAAGAATTATATTTAACAGTAAACCATAACGAGTATGCTAATGATAATATTTACATAGAAATTTGAATACCGAACTAGTATTTTTATCATATATTTTAATTCTTATACGGCAACTTTGTTTTACGTTTTATTTGATAAATAAACAAATCTCGTAATTTTTTTTTATCTCTTAAACATAATATATGTGTGCGTATTGTGCCTTTCATATCAATAAAGTATCAAAATTCTCATATTAAAATCTAAATATGCAAAAATTAAAAACCTGAACTGCGAAATAATATTTTATTTAAAATGCTTTTTTTTAAATATAATCTAATAAATATACAAAAAAAATATTTAGTGTGTAATAAATATAATAAAGTGTGTAATACATATATAAATTATGATAAAGATATTGATTTAAAAATTATTTCATAAAAAATATATATATAGTATTAATTATACATTCTATTTCTCTACATACTATTTCAATATTTTGCCTGCAAAAGTATCTGTAGATATCGTATTTGGCAGAATCATTATTCGCCAGAGAAATCTCATTCGAAAGTTGGTCAAAGTTTTCGAAATGTACCTTGTTTATTCCGTTACTCGCATAATGCAGAGAATGAGTAATCGAGAATTGCGCGCCAACTATATAAGTACGAACAGCTGATCGCTGAATGGCATCAGCTGTGCCAGACTAAACAAAAGTCGATGAACAATGTAGCATTACAAATGTGTATTTATGACGATAACGGTACGAGAGATGTATGATGTAAACGGCTGCTAACATCAATTTACGAGGCGAAATTCTATTGTCTGAATAAAGAAAGAAAAAAGATAAAGAAAAAAGTTGATTAAATTTATACCGATATAAAACAGCAACAAACTTCTTGTAATCTCTGTGTACGAAAGAAAGAGTAAACCATTAATTAAAACTTATTAATTAATTTTGTTTTAATATAACAAAGTTTCGATGAAAAACACGAGCAGTAATTTTTAAATAAAGAAAAACAGGTCTGCGAGTTTAATTTGTTTCGGAGAAATGTATTTAAGATAATTATAAAAAAATATTATTTAATTATACCACAATATTATTTTTACCCACAAAATGGCATAATGATACTCACTATACTGCTATATCTAAAGAAGTAGTACATATTGAGAAAACCTCGATTGATAACAATAATAGCATCAGCAATATCTACATAAAAATGTACGATTCAGTAAGCTTAACCTATTTACTTCTATCTGACAGGGAAAAATATATGCAAAATGTTTTTCTCGTCAATCAAATTTCACTTTCCCTCAAATAACCAGAATTATCAATAAGACAAAAGAAATTTGACTTGCTTGCAAAATAGAATTATGTATCAGCTCGGTGTGTTTCGCGATTTGTAACTGCTTAGAAAAGATGATTAATTTCGAAAGTATTTACCAAATCGGGATCTACGGAGTTGAACCATAATCTAGGATCCCAAGACATGTTCCATTTTAAAGAAACGGTCTTATTGTTAGATTCGGATTCCGAGTTGTCTTCGTATAACATTCTCCTTCGCGACAGACGGATTTGTGTACTATCAATTCACCGATGATTTCGACGAGTAACTAGAGTCGTATGTCATCCGATTTATATTTACATACGATCGCTCGGCAGGCTTTGTCGTATTCGACACGCGAGGTTCGCATGAACCAGTGGTTCTCAAATTATGCTCCAAGTGTAAACGCGATAAACGGTTACGTACAATTATGTAACAATAGTAATAAAAGTAAAATGATTCGTTTCCAAAACAGAGTGTCTTTGCTTTTACTTTACGATAAAAAAAATTCAAAATTCGAATGCAAAATTTTTTATAATATCAATAAGTGTGAAAAGTATTATTTATTTTGTATTATTGTATATGTTAAATATATCTTTTTATCTAAAAAGTATATTTATTACTTCATAATGCTATATACCATATATTATAATACAATATGTTCAATTAACGCTTATTGCAATAAGTCTTTTAGTTAATGATTCTTTTATCTAAATTTTGCACTGAAAAAAATTTCTGATTAAAAAATAAACCAGAAAAATCTCAATCAGAATTCTGGTTATCTCAACTACAATTATAATAGAGAATTATAAAGATTTAAAACCAGAAAATTCTAATTTGTCCGTTTTTAACCCGAATTCCAATTAATGCAACTCTTTTTTCAGTGCATTTTTATAGACATTACATTACCAAATATTCAAAACTATTAATTCACCTGTCTACATTTTGCTAATCATTTTCAGTTTCCCCTAGTTTTTGCATAAGATTTTTACTCGATATTTTACAATCGTACAACTTAATCAATCAACGTGCAGTTTGAGGAAATGCTCGTACAAGTACATAAGATCTGCAACAATCATTCTCATAAGATCTACAACAATCATTCTCATCGATTTAACGTATCATCGATTGGAGCGTAAATACCAATCGCATTATACAATTTTCTTGGAACTTATCTACATTCTATTTACGCAATCGATACATTGTACAACGTTTCTATATAGATGAAACGCGAACATAAGTATAGATATCAATTTTATGTAAGTAGATCGATTTATACAATGATTGAGTCCAATCAAATTTTTTACAATAACATATGTTGTCTGGTAATTACTTTTATTGTTAACTATATGCAAAATATTAATTGTAAATAATTCCACAATGAATGACAATCATTAACTGAAGTCAACTAATTACTATGTCAAATTAGCACAATTTTAATTCATAATAAATATTCATGATAACTATTATTTAACTTATCAAACTTTACTTCTTTCACAACTTGTTAAATTTTCGTCTTTAAATTAAAAGTTTAGAAGTATAATAGAGCGTAAAATTTAATAGAGAGTAAAATTGACACCAATAATTAAGGTGTGCAATTTCATAAAGATTGTGTAAATATAAATAAAGCTTTTAATTAATATTTTTGACAATAAATTCTAAAAAAGGAGCACGCGGCAAAATTAAAATTCTTATGTGATTATAATTGTTGCCATTAAGATATGATTTCTTTTCATATGCACGTTATTGAATTAACTTGTACATTGGTCAAATAGTCAAAAAGCAACATAACGACTTACCAACTAAATGAAAGATCGTTCTCTCAAAAGATTCGACGTCGTCATGAATAATAGATAAATCTCTCATGTGCCTGAAAAGCAAGAAGAGATTTAAATAACTGTTATTATTCAAAAAGTTACATGAAATACATAAAGATTAAATAATCACCCTACATTTGCCAACAATTTACAATATTACATTGAAAGTGGCAGGTACTAAATTTGAACAAATAATTGTTTAAATAATACTAATATAATCCATACAACACAAAAGCTTGCAGCGACATTACTGCAACGTTTGTAATGTTATTACAATATTTCTGGAACATTGCAGTATTACTGGAATTATTTATGCTGTATGGATAACAACATTTACTACAGAAAATAAATTTTATTAAATAAAAAAGTTAAATCAAATTAATGGTTTTTGGATCAATATATTTTTACATTTAGTAAAAATATTCAATTGGCACTATTTAAATAAATATTTATTATTTAGAATATATTCTCTTCTCTCAATGTTAATATTAAGATAAGTACATATAATTTACAGATTTTATTGTAGTCTCAAAATGTATGCTCAAAATAATATCTTTTTTTGTGTTCTTCTTTCTCTCTTGTTCTTTTTGCCATTATTACTTTTTCAAAAAGAATTTTCGCCTAGTGATGAAATAATTAACCATGTACTTAAATCTAATCTTTATTAAATAGCACTCAATGACATGAGTCATGAATAGTACATTTTGATTTCATACGCTCATTTCTCGACCAGAAAATGACACTTGTCATAGGAGAGACAGACGATTTTCTGTCATCGCGCAACGACGCAGTTATTTCCAATTTATTTCTTATTTGAATATACAATATAAGATGTTCGCGAAGGACAAAGACGTGTCTAAGTAGAGTCACGTAGGTACGGAAATATTCATCGCGGTTCACCCAACGGAAATGCGACACAAAGAAACAACGTCGCAGGAACGGAGCTGTCGAGATCCTAACCTCACCTGTGCGGAGGGATTCCCCAGAGGAGTCTACCCGCTCTTCAAAGCCGGCGTCGACCCGCGTCGTGCGTTACATAAGTGAGCCACGGTTCCCGCCCGCGGGAAACATTACATGTTTCACTGACACGTTGCAAGGCCGCGCAACAGCGACAGAGGAAGACGATGACGATGCATCCGCGGTATAACAAAGGAGAGAATCTCATCCGTGCTGATCCGTGCGTAAAGACAGGTCTTTCTCTCACGCCGCGTTATTAGTGTTGACGTCATTCGCCAGGCGGCGCGCTCGATCAGCTGATTGTCCGCGCACGTGCGTCGCACTTTCTCTACACTTTAAATGCGCTTACAAGTATGTATATAAAATGTACAAATACTACAAATGTACAAATTTGAAAAATACATAAATAGATCTATATTCGGGCCTTCGTTATCAGTTAACTCGTGCAGATAAGGATAACAGATTCATTACATTGTTGAACGCTTTTAATTAAGCTGTACTTTCTGTATGTGTTCCTGTGTTCATCTTTTCTTGCGCATTCACGTTTTGTTCTAAATGTTCAAAGAAATTTGTCTTTTTTAATTGTATTCTATTTTTCTTTTTTCCCAAAGTGCTAGAATATAATTTCTTTTGAGCGCTGGAACAAAATGCGTTGATTAAAAGAGATGTGTTATTTTACTAACTGGATATAACCTTCTAAAATATATTCATGTTTTGACATGTTGCATTGGTAAAGGAAGAATAACACGTTTTGTGCAAGCTTCAGTGTTCTTTCGATTTAAAAATATTTAGCAGTACTGTAATCATGACGACGACGCTGGCATTACCGCAAAAGAAATATTATAGACAACGCGCTCATTCGAATCCGATAGCCGATCACTGCATCGAATAGTAAGTAGTTTTTCGTGCGTTTATTGTCGAAATCACAAAAATTATCTTTAACGTTTGTTATTTACTTATTGCAGTCCGATAAAACCGGAGTTAATGGATTGGAGCACTTTGTATCCACAGTACTTTCAGAACAATGGTGAGCAGACATCAGAAATACAGAAACGTGTAGAATTTGCAGATATTGGTTGTGGCTATGGAGGATTATTGGGTAACTTATTCCTTCTTTTCTTTTTAATATATATGAATTGATTTAATTTAATTTATTATATACGAACAAGAGAGAGAGAGAGAGAGAGATTTACGTGAATGTTACATGGAAATAAAAAATAAATACACAGATTGTAAAATGGTAGAATGCTACTGCTTTAATTCCTATCGGATAACTTTTATAAAAGGATGTTAAAATTAGAAAATTAAAATAATTGATGAATTGATCCTCAGTTACTCTATCTTCAATGTTCCCGAATAATTTGATAGTTGGCATGGAAATCAGAGTGAAAGTATCAAACTACGTTATGAAACGTATTACTGCCTTACGATCGCAAAATCCTGGCCAGTATCAGAACATTGCCTGTATAAGAACAAACGCCATGAAGTATCTACCAAATTATTTCTACAAAGGACAAGTAAGTGGAAGGTCTCTATTTTTGATATACATTAAAGTATTGAAGGATAGAACAGTTTGCATATTAATCCATATCTTTTTATTTATATAGCTAAAGAAGATGTTTTTCTTATATCCAGATCCACATTTTAAGAAGTCGAAACATAAATGGAGGATAATAAACAAGTCTCTATTAGCAGAATACGCTTATGTTTTAGCCGAAGGAGTAAGTATTGTTTATATTATTTCTAATTATAGGCCCGTATTCAGAACGCATTTTTATCGATAAAAGCGCGCTTTTATCTCTGAAATTTTATTGTATCCGTGATGTAAACTATAGCATGTTAGCGCACTAACTTTGTTGTTAATGCGTTCTGAATATGGGCCATAGAATTTATTATAGACCAGTATTTATAACCCATTTTTATTTTAAAAGACATCTTAGTATTATAAGATGCTAATATGTGTGGCTGTATATGATTATAATTTATGATATTCTAAGCTATTATACTTAAAATTAGTCTTTAATATGAGAACATACCTTGAATATCGGCTATAATAATTATTATATATGATATTACTTCTGTAAGAATTAAATTTTAAATTATTATTATATAGGCTATTGTATATACTGTAACGGACGTAGAAGATCTACATAAATGGATAGTTCAGCATTTTCAAGAACATTCACTTTTTGAACAAGTTACCAAGCAGGATTTGGTAGGTTCAACTGTTTTTATTTCTTTATTCTTTATATAATAGTGATACTGACAAATTTACCGAGACAGGCAGCGGATCCTGTAGTGGAAAAATTATATGAAAGTACTGAGGAAGGCAAGAAAGTCACTAGAAATAAAGGAGACAAATTTCTGGCAGTATTCAGAAGGATTGCGGATCCTTATATTGTAAGGAATAGCTAGCAACAACAATTACATATAATTTTCCAGCTATTGTATATAATTATACGGCGAAGGATATTCTGGATGAGGGTACTAATTTTGATACCGTAGAAGGATATTTATCTCGTAGCAACAATGTTTCTAAAACGAATTGCAAGAAATAAGAAGATTAATAATTATTTTTTTAAATAAAATATATTTCGTTATATATATACATATATAATAAAACGAATAATATGTATATATACCTCGTCTAATTGTTTTTTTCCTGCTCACACTAGGTACTGTGTTCAAATAGTCTGTGTGTCTAATATCTGTATGCTTAATTAAATGTGCAGTCTTTAAAGCGAATTCTTCGTGCATTATGACGAATAACATCTGTAAAATAAAAACAGTTAATGCTCTTTTGATAAATATCAAATCAGATATAAAATCTTACCTCCTCAAATATATGATTAATTATCGCTAGCGGCGGTGAAATGTACGATCTCCGTATTAATCTTTTTCTTTCGTACGAACTCATTCTAAATTGCGAGTAAAATAAATTTGATTCTTTCCGTAAAACGTCTTGCATTATGTTTCTGAATAGTTTACTATTGACTATTTCCCTAAAATGTGACGAAATGAATTAATCATTAAACCATCATTTTATAAATAAATTCATCTAATCTATTCTTGTGCTTATTATTATAATATTTATGGAAATAGTAAGTGATTTACCACAATAGACCCTCTGTGATAAACGAAGATCGACTAATATCTTTTTTCTTAAATGTCATCATTTTCTCATTTTCCTCGATGTATATTCCTTTCGGCGGTGCACTTGTTAATTCTTTCATTAGACTAACTTTTAAAAATTTATCTTCTACGCTGTAGATAGAACATCGAATTGTTATAGCTTTGTAAAATGGTTGAGGTTTTTTCAAAATTTTCACCGGTATTTCCTAGAGACAAAAGAGTACATAAATTTAGAAGCTTAAAGAGAGAGAAAATTCATATTTATATCATTTCATATAATTCTTCCTATTTTATAAGTTTTATATTAGAACCTTTTTAAAATATTTTTAAAGTCTAAACATTTTACGAGAAAATTTTGTATATTTTATTTACTGGAATGCTGATGCCTTTTTCCGTAATAGTAAACTGTCCTTTCAATTCCTGAGACAAGGCTTCGTGAATGTATACACTTCGTTGATAGATCCGCCTTTGGCTAGCATTAATAAACTCACACGGTATATCAATATCAATCATACAAGGATATCCTTTAGTATAAATAGTTACACGGAAGCTTTTGAAAGACATTGGCTTTATCAAGCCTTTTTGCGGATGAATTTCTACGTGAATTATTTCAGATGTCTCACGTCTGATAGTAATGCAAAAATATTAATTCAATTTTGAAAATACTTTTCAATAATTTATTCCACAATCCAAATAGCTTAAATTAATTCAAGTAAACCTTTTCCATTCGTAGGCGAGCACGTCTTGCACCAAATTATTATGTATCATAATCATCTTAATTACATGGCTGTGCGTAGCTATGTGAGAAACATTTATGCAGTCAGTACTAAAATATATAGGAATATCCTTCTCGAAGCTATGTTTGCATGGAATATATTCTCTAATTGTTGTTGATTTATGTGGCAAGGAGGATTCGCCTTCGAGTGTCAGTTCTTCTTCTCTGTCACCCAAAGTCAAACGCAATTTCCCCTAAGAAAGAGAGATATCGATTGCTATTTTTTTGATTTGGAGAAAAAATTTATTTATTTATTAAATCATTAATTTTATTAAATTTGTTATATAAATACTTTAAATATGCCGAATTTTCTTGGTTGGAATTTTAAAAGAATCGGGACGGAAGTTTGCGGATTTACGATTGTATGTGGAGTCACGTAGGAAAAGACTTTATAGTAGTACTGTTGATTCATTTCGTATATCATTCTTGGATTTATGGAAAACGGGATACTGTGATTTGTACTATTATGTACCCAACACACCTAAAAAGTTTTCATGTTATAGATGTTATATTTAAATGTAATTAAAAACAACCTGATAGATAGGATCCTTTTCTCCAAAATAAACATGTTGGAATTTGAAATGCGTGCCGTTTAAAAGATGGAGATTATGATCAGAATCAGATAAACATTCAATTATTATAATAAAGAAAACGTGACGATTATCTCCAAGGTCTAAATCCCACTTTGTCTCGGTTTGACCTATCAATATATAACGCATCTCTAGTGTTATCCAGATTTTTTCTCTTGGCTGCATTTGATTAAAATAATGAATTAATAACAGCGATGATAATAACAAAATTACTGTAATATCATACAAATATGGCTTATTTATTTACTTCAAGATTTCCCGTTTTTGGCAGTATAGAGCACACTTTTCTATGCAAGCAATCGTACTTCGCACGTTGAAATTTAAGACAACCTTGAGTGTTTACAACTGGCCGACAAGAACAAAGCTGCACTTTTTTTATGTTCCACGAAGCACTCACTGCAGCTGCATTTGTTAGAAGCAACTTTATAATAACCTTTGGACTATGTAAAACCATCGCTGGAAAATGTATGTAAAACATTTCCGATGTTCCCGGTTGCAAATCTCTGAATAATATATTAAGCCTAGAAATGCATGTACAGATCTGATTTATACCAGGAGACGCGGTAGTGTTTACGGCCAAAACTAAATAATTTTACTTTTTTACTACCAATTAGCATGCTACTTTTCTAGTAAATTAGAATTCTATAAATTATATATTTTAATTGCTAGTTTTCTAAAAAAATATAATTTGTAGAATTATATTTTTTAGCTATTTCAGTCCACGCTAGAAAACAGCACGCTAGTTGCTGATAGTAAAAAAATATTACATAAATTAGGTCATACATGATTACAATATTAAAATATTTATATCAAGAAATAATAAGAAATTCTATGTAGGTACGTGTTCATTTTCATCAACTTCCAAAGGAAAGCTTTGCTCACGTCTGGGTAAGATCCATAATATTGCAAATCTATCACCTATTGTTAAAAAAGAATGAGTATTCATCAAGAATGAGTATACATTTATTACTGTTATATGTTTCGTCAAATTATTATTTTCAAAAATGTGTTTTTATTGATAAACGCATTTAAAATAATTATTAATTTAAAATAATACTATGCACACAAGCATTTTACCTTTAAAATAGGCAATACACATAAACAGCGCACTTTACAGATATTCCTCGGAATCTGATTTGGAATTAAAGCTGTGTTTATATCAGAACTCATCCTTACAAAATACTGAACAAAAAATTCGTAAAATCCCGGAGTAGTAGGTGTGATAAGAACAGTAATGACTTTATCTTCTCCGGCAAGAACATTGTCCGCAGTCGGATGTATTTTTACATCACGTTTTAAATTCCCAATTGGCCAATTGCAATGGTTACATGTCATTTTATAATAGATGTTTACGGGACTCAAGTTAAATACGTGAAAACTTAATTCTTTTGTATCTTTGTATGCTAGAATTTCAAAATTTAATTCATCCGGTGCTGACTGAAAAACAGTATACATTATTAAGATTTTATTATAAGATTTTTATTATTATATTTCGTTATTATTTTTAAAATTTATTTATCTTTTATTTTTTATCTTGTTATTATTTTATTATTTATTAATTAATTTACCACAAGAATACCAAATTCGCATTTTCCTGTTACGTGTAATGTTATGCAGACGCTAGGACCAACGGGAATTCCATCTTTCAATACAATCAATATGCAGTTTACATCAAACTCGTAATCCCCAAGTGTCATAGAACAAAATAACCATTTGTGAGTAATTATATCGTTCGAGTAAATTTGGCCATTTCTATTTCGTATTTGAAGTTCAGGTGTCACATTAATAAATTCATAACTAAAGAATCGGTGTTAATTAAAAACAATTACAACAATGAATTAATAGTCTACTTTCTTATAAATATTTAAATTTTTATAATAGAAGAGATTAGAGATATAATTAAAATAAAGTTTTTATATCTAAAATTTAATTAATTTACGGAAACTATTAAAGAAAAATGCATATCGATTTCTTTGAAGTTTCATATGATGTTACATTATATAATTAATTTTATTACTAAATATTAATATTTTGCAGAATTAATATTAATATCACAGAAATTTACTTTATTACATGTCGAGTGATATTTCGCATATAAAACTGCTGTAGGCTTTGACAGCCTGGAAATGTCGGTGCGAAACTCACGGTATTCTGATCACTAAAACTGACATTCGCATATTCTGTGTATCCCTGAAAATCTATGAAATATTCAGATTTCATATTTCCATTGAAATATACTGCCCAACGTTCCATATAAACGCGTTTATCGTCATTTCCGGGTAACATGCCGATTACAATGATCTGATAATCTCTGAAAAGAATTACAATGCATCATTGATGGATAGAAATTGAAAATGATATTGAATGCAAGATATCAATATAAATCGTTTTGAATGCTTTTTAAAAACAATAAAGTAAATACAAACATTATGTAAAACGAATGTATAAAGATAATATGACATCGTGATACACTATAGCAGTAAAAAATTATTTTAAATTAAACATAGTGTTTTGATTTTTTGATAACAATGCTTATCTGATGTAAAGTAATAAAAAAATAGTTTTTGTAAACTAGTATTATTATTTATATGCGACGCGCTTTTATGATGAGATTTTACGTTATATTCGAGCAATTAAGATCCTATAAAATAATATTAAATGTAAGTACCGATGAATTATGCCCATCATCGGCTTCACGACAAAGTGGCTCGATGTTGGCGGTACAAAGCGATACATCAGCGGTAAGTGCCCGTATTTTCGAATTAGAAACGTGGTGTACGTCGGCGATGAGGGTATACAAGGAGGCATCTTAACTACGTGAGGTATCTCGTACTGAGGAATCCAACCATCGGAGCAAATGGGAAAGGAGTGACCTATAAAAAAGCAATTAGGTAAGCGCGGCGTTATGCAAACATAAGAGACAGATAAAGAAAGAGAATACGCACCTATTAGCCGCACGGATGTGATTGCAGGGAATGTCAGAGTTTCTTCTCCAAAGCGGTCTTCTTGCCGCTTGACAAAAACATCTCCAACAAGGTCCCTCGCAAAGAAACTGCTTGCTCGGTTGGGATTAAACGTTACTTCAAACAGAGCCGTCTGATTTGCCGGTATTTTTGTGATGGTGGGGGTTATATTGAAAATTCCTTCAACATCTATACACAAGATTATCTAATTAATTAACTGTTGACAGAAGAATAGATATTTGTGCTTGCAGCAGCATTTAATTATAATTTTTCTTTCTTAAAATAATCTTACAGAGATAAAAAAGTAAGAAGATAAATAAAGTAAGTAAAAATATAAGAAAAAAAATAGAATAATTGAAGGGCTATGAACCAGTTATGTAATAAAGAATGTTTAATTTAAAACATAAAGATAAAAACAATTATAAACGTTCCTACACCGATAGAATCATTCTCAATGTTACAGTAAATGCATTATTATAAAATAATTGGAAATCTACAATATTGCTTCATAGTGGTATTCTTGTTTTTCTTCCCATTATCATAATATGTTATCAATAAATTAAAATAGTAAAATTAGTCATTGAAAAATTCATAGCAATAATGTAATAATAATCTTATTAGATAAAATGTTGAAAGACAATAAATAAAAAACGCAAAAAAGTTCATCGTGGTAATACACAGTAGTTGCATGTGTTCTTAAAAATTCGTTGGAGTAAGATTGTAAAAGAAGTAAAGAGTAATTTCAACGATGTCAGATAACGTAACGTAAATATAAAAAGTTGAAAAAGTATAAGATAAGAAAGGTAAAGAGATAAGTAGAAAATGAAATAAAATGCTAATGGTGCATATATGTATATTGCAATTTGATAAACAACCTTGGTCCCATCTAATTAATACATCGGATTGGCTGTGATTAGTAAGACACAAAGATTCCGGAATTTTTCGTGCAGCATTCTCCTCTACGTCGGCCTGACCGAAGTCGATACAATTTTTTGACGAAGAAACCACAGGAAGATTTTGCGTGGCAACGACAGTATCGCTTGTGTATCCTTCAAAGCCATTTTTCAATCTTGTAGGATAATTAAAACGAACCTGTGTGCTCGTTTTACGCAACGCTGTACAACAGTAGCCGTATAATTCTATGATAATCGGTTTCTGTAAAATAAATCATCGTGAATAAATGTATCATGCAAGCATATGAAACGTGGAAAAAGCAAGGTTGGTAAACTTTCCAACTAAATGGTGAATATCTCAGTGAGCCAAAAATATATTACGTAAATATTTTAGTAGACCAAAAACATATTACATAAATATTTCAGTAGGATATTACGTAAATACAAGGTGACGCACGAAATGTACAAAACAAATCATACCATTTGTTTTTTTATATAACATTTTTTTTTTTCAGGTAACATACAAAAATCTGGAAAATTTGATAATTCAAATGACATTTCGTGTGCCACGAGGATTGCGCGCTTTAATCGTCATTAATAATTCAAATATTCCCATTACGTGATTCAGGATTAAGCATGGAAAATAGCACGCGTAGATCCCGCCTTCCCGTGGTGCAAAAGTAATTGTTACAAATTTGTGAGAACAAGGTTCGATGCGTCCATGCCGCGGATTCGCTTCAAACGGCCTTCGAAGTGGGTCGATGTCGAACGCGAAAGTCGCCGTGGTTTTCGAATCGTTGATGAGCTTGATTCGCTTCTTTGCTACGTGATTCTCGTCTGTACATCTCATGACTAATCTCGTGGCGGACGAAGAGATCATGGGTCCTGCGTTCGTAAATGATTAACAATTAACATCGTACGGTGACGGAAACATTCATCGCAAACATTGCCAATTTTAAAACAACTGTGTATTTCTGGATAATTAATGACTCATAACTTAAATTGAACAGGACTTATCCGTGTCTGAACTTATTTAAAAGAATGTATAATTGAGTGCTCCGATATTAAAATTAAGAAATTTTCAAAATAGCAGACTCGATCAATTTCAAAGAAGCTTCTGGCAGGTTTCATCAATCATTTTTACTTAAAAAAAAATTTATCATCAAAAGCATTCGAAGATCGGCGAACTTTAATTACAAAAGATTCTTTTAATTCTTTGGTGTCACTTTAGGTATAGGATATCCGGTTTTCTTTTCCTAATATTTTTTTGTAACGTTTTTTGGTTAATTTTTATAAAAATTATAATAAGTATTTGAATTGAGTTAGATATGTCCAAGTGCGTGTGTGTCATTCTAATAGTGTGGGGGATATCAAAGGCGATCCTTTCTGACGATAGTTATAATTGGAAAGAATTTCGTACCAATGCACGTTCCGCGGACTTGAATTTCTGCGCGTTCACCAGCTGAATCTACGATTGTAAAATAATCTACGTTTACGGTGAATGGCAGGAACGGCCGATAGTATATTTTGCACTTGTATGCCTGGCCAGGAAGTAAAGACCATGAATAGCTACATAATTCAAACACGTGATCCAACGGATTGGTAGACGCATCTCTTCGAGCCTCGTAAATTTGCTCAATCTATAATACATCATTAATTAATCAATATGAGTGCTTTACAAAGAGCTGAATGTTTTACAAGTAAATGATAAATAAAGTACAAGTTTAAAACAATTTTTTGTTATTTCGTCATTATTTCCTTCTAATATCAAACTGCAAAAGGATTATATATTCTCTCAACATCTCTTTCTGAATATTAAACACACCCAAAATTTATTTTGTGCAGCTTATATAATATACGGGAAAAATAATTTAGTCAATTTTAAATAAAAAATTTTCATATTGTAGTAATTTTTAAACGCACAATTCTTTTAATAATTAATTAATGCCGTAACCTCCTTTTTACAATTAGACATTAGACATATTTAAAAATCATTTTATACAGTTAAAAAAACGTAGAAAATAATCTCCCTCTCTAAATTAAAAATTAATATTTTCATCATTTTTAAGAAGTGTGTTCTCTTAATTTAATTAAGACTTGGTCAAAATCGCTCTCATATATCCATTTCTGCCAATGTAGATTAACTCTCGGTTTTTTACATTTACTTTTTAACCTTTTCTAATTCTCAGAGCTAGAGAAAGATAAAAATAAAGATAAGTTAAGCCAATTAAAGTTAATTTACATTGATAGAAATGAATATTAATTATTAAACGTAGACAGGAAGTCGGACACTAACGCAACTTTCGTTAAATATCTCCAGCCACTTGACAGCTGTGGCGCCCGTTTCCACCTCGCCGAAGTCCACGTGGATTTTTCTATTCGCTTCGCAGAGCATTTTTTTTTTGTTTCGTGTCTAATTATCAAGCGATTGAAGCGATATTCCTCTCTCTTTCTCTCGCTCGCCGAGAAGCGGGACACAGCCAGGATCTCTCGTCGAGGTCTCGATCGCGCGATCGATGTCTGTCCTCTCGAAGGTGCTCGAAGGCAGGCAACGGCGTCGGTCGACTTTCGTCGGGACTTGTTTGGTCACCCCCGTGGGGGGACGGATGGGTGACGCATCTCACGTAACGACATCGCGCAATCTGCTCCGGGCTCTGACTCCACGAAAATAAATCTCGGCGCTCCTCGCCGCGGCATTTCGCACGGTGTTTCTCGTCGTCGCTGCCTGCGAGACCTGGCTTCGCTCCTCGTGTATCCTGTATGGCCCTGTGACACCCAGCTCTGCGCGGTCGCGACCCGAAGATGGCCCGGGACGCAGGCGTCGTCTACCTGCTGATCGTGATCGCGCACCTGTGCTCGTGCGCGCGTTACGGCAGTTATGGATACAATAATTACGTTGAATGTAAGTCGCGTGTAATCAGCCAGTAGGAGATCCCTTTTTTTTTTTCTCGTTTAACCTCACTTCTACACCTTTTCGTAGATAGCCTCGAGAACGAAAAGATATGCCATGTCCTAAACAAGAAGCACACGATCGACATGCAACACGGCGCCGCGGCGATCGTCATGCCGCATCATATGTTCGACCACTGGGTCGTCAAGGCCAATCGCAATTGTACCTTCGTCTTCCGGACTGGTAAGAGCGAGGGCCTCTTCGCGGTTATTCAAAAGATGTTTCTTCGTCGCGACGGTGATCGGTGTATTGATTACGTACGGGTAAGTGGATGCAAGCTCTATTCTTTTTTTTTCATACTGAATTATACTTCTCTTGCATGATTCAGCTTTTTTCTTTTTCACATTGGAGAGAAAGAGACAAAAGATGAACTATGTAGAATTCAATCCTGGAGTATGGAAAAAAAAACAGGTCTAAGTACAATTAAAATTAGCACTCGTATGAGATTCTTGACAGATATTTCATTAGTTCAAGAGAAGCGATGGATTTTACACAAGCAAGTTCTGTGGGGAGATAGATCGCAGCCAAACAACATACCTTCTGGTTCCTGAGCCTGAGAACAGTTCGGGTAACACAAATGAAAGCCGGACACCTAATTATGATATATATGCAGAATATGATCCTATTAAAAAATCAAAAGTGTGGTCTATTCGGTCGGATTCTGCTACGATAGAAACGGAAGTATTCATTTCCAAGGAAAGAGTACCAGATGGACAGTCCCTGGATCTTACAATAGTTTACACCCCGTTCATAAGTATGTTTTTTTAACGTATATGTTTATATTATGTAACAAACATAATTGTTCATTTGCTACAATTCAAAATGATTATTTTTTGGTTGCTTGCAGAAAAAAACAAAAATTTGAAGTAAAAGGAGAAAGAACATAATTTAAAAAAGAATATACTTGTATATATTTTTGTGGTTTATAGTACTTGTAATATTTTTGTGGCTTCTATCTTCTTTTTACAGAAGATAGAAGCCACAAAAGTATTACAAGTATTATAAGCCACACAGTTTGCGATTTATTTGTATGTCTTGATATATGAATATACTTTTGTTTCTTAATTTTTTTACAATAATTTATTATTACATTAAAATTTAATTTCAAAATTAATATTTATTATAAGATATTAATGATTCAAAGTAATTATTCAAACTTTTTTGAAAGTTTTGTTTTTTAATTGTAGCAAATGAGTAATATGATTATCTTATTTATAATTTATTTATAGGGTGCGATCAGGCAGATTCCGAACAATACCAAGAGGTTGGATACAACAATTGTATTCGGAAGGAGTACATATGCGATAAGATCTACAATTGTCCTTTTGGTATGTGCTCTGACGAGGTAAATTGCGTGATCAATGATCGGTATCCCAAAGACAATACTGCCACAAAGGTCACTGTAGGAGCAGTCACCACCATGATCCTCTGCTTCATCATCTTTGTTATGTGTTTATGGATCTGCAAGAAATCACAAAAGTTATGCTGGTCATCGGATTGGGCTGGTCCAAATGTGTGCTCGCGGCCGGTTTCCTTGCCGGACGCGGAGCGGGGTCAGGGATCCAATCACGCAGTGCCAACGGCCCCCATGTTGGAGGTCGCAATGTCTTCGCCTGTCGTAGACAAAGATCTACCACCCAGTTATGACTCGTTGTTCCCCGAACAAAGTAATCCTGCTAGATCGTAAGTTATTAAATCCGAGTATAAACTGGTAGGATGAAGTATGAGAGCGCATTAAACATATCGTCTAATGTTTTAATTAGACGCTGTGTTATCGCGCATCTAATGACATAACTAAGTCGAACTTTTTCTACAGACATTCATATACTATTGTTCAAAATTTTTATGAATTTTAATGAAAGAAAACGTTTTGATAAATTAATGGATGTTTCATGTATCAGTTTTGATTCTGTGTAATTGATTTCATGGAAATATGAATTGAATGTAATATAGTTTTAGAATATTAATTAAATAAGTCGGTTTTGACTAGGATGCAAAACTATACGACACCTACTACTGTCTTTCGTTTTTTGATAACGGACGAAGATTGTCTTAATTAATTAATGAATTGTTACATGCATATATTTCAATCATTTTGACCAAAGTAATTATATTTGGAGCGCTGCTGCTCACCGTCCACATCCAATTGCATGCAATTTATATTTACACGCATTTACATGCAGTTATGTTAATATTACACGATCATTTTTTCTTATTGTATATTAGTGAGATTATATGAAATGCAGCAGTTAGTAGATAGGTCAGTTAAATTGATCTTTCCTTCTGTATAGTTTTAAAGTTTTTGTTTTTTAACTGCAGCCTTATTGAATTATGACGTCATAAAGGAGAAATCGTATTTTATATCTTTGTTTCATATAGGCTGAAATAAATTAGATTTTTCATACTAGTGTTTAATAGCGTAAGTATTGTAAGAAAAAAAGTTCGTATAATAATTCTCACTTCTGACTTAACTTATGGTTGCAGTGGGAAAATGGGATTCTTGAATGTAAATTTCTACGTTTTGTATTATTTTTTAATAAATATTAAAGAAATAATACCACGTGAATTTTGTTCATTGAAAACGACAACGAAGAAATAGTGGCCTCAAAATAATTTTTTAGTATTTGATGGAATAATACAAACTTTCCGTATCAAAATAATGGTTCAGTATTTTTTTAACTTAATATTAATTAAATTTAAAGTTATATGTGTTATCAACTTTACATCTGTATTAAATTTTTGTATTAAGTTATGATCTTACTTACGATATTTGATATAGCAATAATACATATCTCGAAAAAGAAAAAATTTTGATGAGATCTGTTGTGTTCATAGACATTCGCGAAATGAGTGGTATGTGAACTTACCATTGTAGCATATTTTAATAATGCTATGTCTTACTTGAATATACACGACCATACACGACATATATACATATTTATATACATATGTGTGTGTATATATATATATAAATGAAAATAATTTTTGTACGTATACAAACATACAAATTTTATAGAATGTATACAAGTCTTAGATGTGTGAGTATATATTTTTGGAGATTAAATGTTATTTAAGTCTATAAAATATTGTATGTAATAAAATTGTGTAAATATTCATTTTGTGATAATAAAGATCTATGTATATACATACATAAAATCGAATTCTGAATTATTTTGTGTCTTCGGATTCTTTAGACGTATGCTCCAGTAACCACAGACAATCGTTGATGATATGATCTATTTCGGCTGGTCCAGTTGATAACTGATGATTGTCATCGTACACAAGCATTCTGTGCAGTCAAATCAATTAATAACGATGCAAGATTTTTAATATGTATGTCAACTTACTTAGTTTTCACGTTGTTAGATTTGAGACAATTGTACCACATCGTTCCTTGAGAGGGTGGTACGCGCAGATCTTTCGTTCCAATGCAGACCAAGGTCGGTGCCTTGACTTTACCGACATGTATAATGGGCGAGCACTTCTTCATTTTCATGAACATGTCAATATCATTGGGCCAAGGACCGGTAACAATGTTGCAAAGAAGACCTGCCTCCGCAACGCACCTGTAACGAAAAATTAAATCACATTAATGTGAATAAAATAATTTAATGCGAATACAAATATATTTGCCAGGTGAACAATATATCGGCACAAATAATTCACGTATATCTAAATAAAAAGAAGACCATGTATTTCAGTCAAGCTTAGACTAGTCGCGACTATTGGTACATCTGAAATAACGATTAAGCTTACATATTATGAAGATACGCTATTATCTCTTCCTTAGTCAGAGCATTGCGACTGAAATACAAATATGGGGTATTGAATATTAGGACGTGAGGAACATCGTTATTAGGTATTAAGTATTTCTTTACCAGTCTGGGATGTCGGATGTACCGAACATGATGGAGATATCAATTACCGGATTTTTTGCAATTACTGCTTTGTATAGATCCTAAAATAAAAATAGTTTTTAAATTGATATTCCAATTAACATATTATTGTATAAATTTATTGTTTAATTCACTTACAGGAACTTGTCCGCTTAAGTGTGCTACTAAAAATCCACCATGAGATCCACCACAAAGACATATGCGTTTAGAATCGAGCCAAGGATATCTCTTGATCGCTTCCTTCGTAGCAGTTACACAGTCCTTTACATCAACGTTTCCAACTTTTCCTAGAAGATATTCCACCGACGCACTGCCCATTCCCGTAGAACCACGATAATTCACTTGCACTATCGCAAAACCTGAATTATGTTGCATTAGTATAGTAAAAAAAAACTCTTAAATAAATATTATATAAAGAGAAAGACATGATTTACTTATTACCTGCTAATGCCAAGAAAGAACATTCTAAAGAAAATACGTTTACAAAATTGCTATGAGGTCCTCCATGTGGTATAACTACAAAAGGTACCGATTGATCTTTACCACTTTTTGGACCGAAATAGATATAATTGAATTGCTCTGAAAAGTAAAGAAGCAACATTCAACTAGCTGTTCCAAGAGAAATTGTGCAAACAATAACACGATCCACTTACTTATGCTGTCGTCGTTATCATAACTATATTCATTTTGTTCATATATAATTTCTTCGAAACCATGAATTTTCATTGGAGCTGTAATCGCAATTCTGGGGATGTCGCCATTACTTGCCGCTTCACTCTTAAAACGGCCTACCATAAGACTAGAAGGTTGTATTAAAGAAGTATTCAAAAATGCAATCACATCCCCCTTTACATCCAATATACAAAGACTACTTCTATCATTTTTTATCTCAGTAACATTTTTTGTTTCTGCAAAGACAATTCATTTTTCTCTTAAGTAGCAAGAAAATATTAACGCATTAAAATAGTTTAATCAATAAAACTTTAGTATCTTACTTATATTCACGATATATGAGACAAGATTGTTTCTTTGAGCTGTACTGAAAAATAAGTATTGAGAATCGTCGCTCCAACAACGACGAGGTAAACGACCATATATCCCGTAAAACTGTTTGTTAGAATTAATTGTTTTACTCATTCGCACTGCTTCCACGATTTCGATATTCTAAATGTAAAACAGAATAATTTATAACTCAAAGTACCAAATATACTTTCCTTAATATAATTTTTGGTTTATAATCTATTTGATACATTACATTATCTTCCTCCACTCTCAAATCTCGCATCATAAGTTTGTGCGCATTATGATGTGGGACAGCACCTGCTTCTCTCTGTAACCACACAAGATGGTTTCTATCAGGACTGATTCTAGGACTATGCACAGCACATCCATCATCGGACAATTTCCCTGTATAATAAAAGTTATTCATTTCTTTTCTGTTATTTTATATCTGTTATATTAATTACTTAAATGTTGCTTACGATATTCTCCGTTTTTCAATAAAAATATCCAAGAATATCTATTGGTGCACGCAGTAAGGCCTAAGTATAGTGGCTCATGCTTCCAAGCAACACCAATTACATCCTGATCTTTCGTCCAAATCATTTGACCATGAGAAAGTTCATCTGGTATTCCAGATAAAATTGTAATGGTATCCAACGTTGTATCGAGAACAGCAACAACAGATTGGTGTTTACCTACTAATTGCTCTCCCCAGTGTGGTTTGTGTATATATTCGTTACCCTGCATTAGGAAAATTAAATAAAACAAGTTATATACATACAAATAGAACTCCATAATTATTTAAAGAAATAAGGAATATATATATAAATCTTACCACTGTTACTTCATCATCCTCTTTTTTCTCCTTATCTTTTTTATCCAATGATTTTTGCTTATAGAATGGTTCTGACTTAGAAAGCTTCTTTTCAGCTATATACAGAATCTTGGTATTGTCAGGAGACCATTCGAATGAACGAAATTCGGCTACAAAAAAAACGCATAATAGTTAATGAACAATTAAAAAATTAAAAATTTGAGATAGATCTCTATAAAAAGACGGAAGCTTATACCATCTGTGTAAACATCGCCATGAACATCCAGAGCAGACAGATCATAATTCTTCACGAAATGTTGTTTATCCCAGATTTCTAAAAATTGCTTTGTAGAATTATCAATTGTGGCCTGGCGCAAAACAGCTCTACGTTCTTCATTCTTTGTCAGAGTTGACATCAACCTGTATTTAAAACAAATATATTTAAATGCAGGCAACATTTATATTAAATATTTTTATTACATTGTCTGTATTACAGAGAAAATATATTACATACTCTGTAGTAGTATCAATTGGAAATCCGGTAGAAATTGGTGTCAAGTCTGAATTTAAATCATAATTTTGTAAGAAGCGTTGATCCGTCTTTCTTTCCAGATTCCTCTGAGTCCATGAGCCTTGTATGGATATTCTACCGCTCGTAGTACCCAGAATTTGTGCACTGCTCAAGGATGGATATGCAGCTAATGATTTGTACAAATTTGTCAATTCCTTTACCTGTAAAAATATTTTCTATATGCATCGTTTCGCATAATTCATGAAAAAAATTATTGCAAAAAATATCAATAACACTTGAAATTATTGCATACCTGTCCCAATGCCATTCTGAGTTTTTTTCGTTAATTGCAGTCACCTCTCCTTGTCTTTTCACGGTGTGAATGTAAATAAAGTACGAATGCCGGGCACACGTCGGCAATTTCAGATCCTATTTATACTTGCACTCCGATAAGTGCTGATAACAATCTTAGATAAACGCAGACACAAATACTACTACATTTA